TGAATCCGTCACTTCCTTTGTCAAATCTCTATTCATTCTGTCAGTCACCCTTATATCAAAACCCACCAGAAGCTCTTCCACGGAGGCAAAGGGTGAGGCAGTGAATAATTTGAAAATAGTCAACTGCGATCCTCCCTTTGTCCTCCTCATAGAAGTGTTCAACACCATCTTCATCCAACAACGATGATACCTTATTTCGCATTTTACGTGTTTGAACACTTCCATGAAAGAAACTAGTCTTCTTGTCTCCATAATTTTTAATTAGACAAATAAACATCCAACAAAACCTACATTATTTATTTTCAAATCGATCGTCTTTGTTAATTTGATTGGTTTAAGTTAACAAATAAATTTAGCATAATTTCTATTATCCGACTAAAAAAATTTGTTGGTTTTAGATCATTGGTTCAATTAAACATAAAGATGAAGAACACTTCAAAGCATCAAAACTTTAGATAATTAGATATTAGTTATGAATAAAATTGAAATTACAATTTAAAATAACCTTATCATCACAAAATATTTTATTTAAAAAATATATATGATAGAAATTATGATTCACTTTATTGAGATTGTTTTATATAGTTTAATTTTCTTTTTAGATAATTATTCAAAATTTTCAATATATTTATCTAATCATAAATTTTTAAAATTTAATTAATAAGACATATTTATCTCAAACAAAACAAAATATTACTTTTTCGAAATAATGTTGCTTTATTAAAAAATATAACTTTTGATAACAATTAGGACGAAATGGTCTTATCACACATGAAAAGAGTTAGTTTTACAAAAAAAAAAATGGTGTATTTTTCAAATTTTAAAACATAGAAGATATATTTTTTCAAATTTCCTCTTAATAAATTAACTAAGAAAAAAGTCTAGTTTTCAAAAAAAAAAAAAAATACAAATTATCCAAGAACACTTGACAGGATGTTCTCATGATGTCTCCAAAGACAGATGTGAGCACCAATTTCAAAATCCTGAACTTCCTACCAACTATACAAGTTTCAATAGCCTCATCACCCATTAGCTTCATCTAAGGCCACAAATGTTGGAAGTATCAGCATTCAACTCGAACTCGGAAGATTCTAAATCGAGTATCGGTTGATGCTGAGTACGGAATAAAAAGGCAATCTTCAGATTGTCTTGTCCCTGACAAGAAATTTGAGTCCCTTTTTCGAACAGTTATGTTTGGATCTGTAGCAAAAATATAATCATTCCTCTTTTCAGATTTCGTTTGAAGCTCAAAACCAGCCACTTAAAAAAATGATCTTAAATCAACATCGAACACTATAAACATAGAAAAAGCCCTCAATGAGTTCTCTACAACATTCAACATTTTTCTCAAAAGGAAAGAAGACGGTTTAAAACTGAAGACCGTGTTCGCGAGCTGCAGCGGCAAGAGCCTCAATGCGTCCATGGTAAGGATAACCACCACGGTCAAAGGCTACCTTTGTGATCCCTTTCTCCAAGCAAGATTTCGCTATAACTTCCCCAACTTTCTTCGCTACCTCCTACTGAATACCAAACCATAATGTGGAAATATCAGGTTTTAAGGCACGAAAAGAGAAATCGTGTTGAGGTCAAGTGACTCATGTGGTGCTAAATGGCTACCAAAGATTCATCTCTCAACCATTTAGCACATACGAAATATGGTGGCTTACATAGCCGAAAATTGCTACTCGATACAAAAAACTGTGTCAACCATTTAAAAACCACTGTTCTCATTGCAAAACCATAACCAAGAATATCATTATATGCCCAAATGAGCTAAATGGTTACTAAAGATTCATCTCTAAGCCAAGTTTTGATTACCTGCAACCCGAAATCGAAAGCAGAGTATAAGATGATGAAACTTATAATGGTTGGTCCAGAAGTGTAGTCGAACTCCTCTGAGAGAGGTTTCTGCTTAGTGCATCTTAGTATCATCAATCACTTGGACATAAAGATGCTTGTTTGAGCGAAAAACGCAGAGCCTTGGCCTCTCTGTCGTACTGTTAACCTACACGAAATGCAAACGGTAAGGCGTAAAAAAAAACAAGATTCTTGCCAAGAAAGAAGCATCAAACCCCAGAAAATCTGCTTATAACAGCATCAAAACAACACAACGAAAATAACATTTTTCTAACTTGGAAAACTCAAATCTTCCAGAACTTAAACTTGTATTTGTTAGAACTGATTACAGATTTGTAAGAGAAGAAACATCATGGCTTTTTTCCACTGTACCAAACACTATTTATAGCTCCATTATTCATTAGACTCTAAATTTCAACACAATTCTGATTGATTTGCTTCCTCTAAAACTTGTCCAAAGAACAATAAACACTGTCCTAAAGAGCAATTAGCGTAGAATCGAAACGATATTAAGAAAGAAGAAACAGTTACCTTCTTACGGATACGAGAATGTCGGGCGATTCGGTCTTCGCTGCTGGTTTTGGTTTTGGCTTCAACCACCATGGACCGAGACT